GTAGGGAAAACGGACCACATGATAAAGACAAGGATTCTTATAACTCATTTCTGATTACAAATTATATCAATGAATGATCTATTTTGTGATATTTTAGCTTCCACAATGCAGATGTACCATTTTACTTGTCATTTTTCTTTTAAGTATGTTTTACCTAATGCTATAACACATGGGCTTCCGAAAGACCAAAATAACCCACATTTTGAAGTTTTTCATCTAATAAAAAAGAATCAGTGTTAGATTTGAAGGAATCTTTAAATTTACAATATTTGTAAGAATGAAATGAAATTTTACACCAAAGATAAATACATATATATATAAATCCAGAACACGTATTTATAACATATATATATGAATCAGAAAGACTATGACATTATGCATGCATCCAACTCTCATAATTGAAAGCTTTAAGTCTGCTTTGAGCAACCTGGTACCCAGCTCCCAAGCGAGCCAAGAGCATGGACAGAGAAGCCCTCAAATGTCTGTTTCCAAACCTGATGCTGCACTGGCTCTTCAGCAGTAAAAAGACTTCAGCTTCACATTCTGCTTCACCAGGGTTTGACGACACAGCTTTGGTGAACTTGCCCTTTTAAATTGCTCTGCCCAGTCATTTGTACATGCCTTTAATTAAGCCTAATGTGTTTATTATTAATACCAGTTACATTAGAGCTTCTCCTTTTATTTTCACAATAACCTAAGGAGATAATAATTATAACTATACTACATATCCATAAACCAAACGTAGACACAGATCAAGATGAGTACCTTTTAATTTTATCCCTTTTTTTAATCCATACTCATTAAAATCTTTATTAAAAAGTGCCTCTTACTTGTGATTGCCTAACATTACTATTTCTCAATACTATAAAGAACAGCAAATTGCACAGGGACATCTACTGCTGGGCCCAACAACACTGCAAGAACCAGACACATTTCTACGTATTTCACAATGAACAGAAAGCAGTGCAGTGGGTACAATGAACTGCTCTGTCTTAGCCTAAATAGTAAGCTGCTGAACGGGAAACAAGCCAGAGAAATAACCCTATATAAACAAATGAAAGCAAGCAGTAAAAAACCCTGCTGTGTGAAAGAAAATATTTTGTAAAGTGAACAAAAACATCAAAAGCTAGGCAGAGAAAGATCCTATGTACTGTAGTATGAAGTAAATAATCAGTAAAGGAAATTACCTCTCTCAGTTCTCCAATTCTGCGAAGTGCTTTATCCTGAGTTTGACTCAGAACACCCTTAAAAAAAGGAAGAATAAACATCAGCTGTATTAAACGTAACTTTATATATATAAAAAGTATATATAAATTCATAGAATTGTATTTCAGCAGAAGAATTAATGATCTGTATTTCTCTTTCAAGTCAAGCTCGATGTGTAAGTATTATCATAAACTATCAACTCCGGGCTGGCAATCTATCACTTGAACGCAGCTGATGCAGTAAGAAAGGCTGGGGTACAAGAGCTTCACAGTTGTTTAGACAAACCAGTACTAACTTGGCTTCCTTACAAATCCCAGCTAAGAAAGTCTTGTTACACACACACACATACATACACAACATATTGTGCAAACACACACACAATGCACTGAAAATTAAATCTCAATTTGCACTACACATTTTAAGATTCAGAAAAGCATTCAGATAAGAGAGGATGAAAAGTAATGTTTACCTGTAGCTTCTTCTTCTCCCGCTGGATAACTTGATAAGCAGACACTAGCTAAAATACAGAAACCAGGTATAATGATGAATGCATCTGCTTAAGCTATCAAAATAATCTGCTTAGTTCTATTGCCATCTGCATTTTCAAACTCTTCACCCAAGAAAGCTCTTCTGACAGAAACCTATTTAAATATTCTCAATGAGGTCTTTTTCCATGTATAAAGTATCTGCTACATATAAAACCCTGAGGTTACTCACCATCCACGCAGTTTTCCCTTCACTGAAAAGTCCTGTAAGACCAACCAAGCTTCAACACAGGCAGTCAAAAACCAACTGCACCAGAAAGTTACATCCCAGCCAGCCACCCCACAGGGATGTACATTTGTAAGGATACATGTTCCAGAGAGCTTAAGTAAAATTAATTTTACAGTGAGTATGCATTAAAAAAATACACTTACAAATCTAGCAAAAGAAGGTCTGTGTAATATTGAGTATTCTCATCCCATGTGCTTTGCACAGACCCAGCAGACAAGAAGACTGGAAGTGGGCATTATTTCTCATTGTAAGCTGACAAAAGAGCGTCATGAGTAACTGCACATTTAGTTTAATTAAAAGTTTGACCACAATTGCCTAAGCTGTCCAAAGCTGAAGTAGCAAATTGGCACTTGGAACTAGAATATTCCATTTTCTAATTGCTGAAAAATTAAAGGAAAACAAACCCAAAACACCAAAACCAGAACTCTTTCAGTCAAAAGAGATCTTCAAATCTCCCTCCTTATTTAAATAAGGAATTTTCAAGAATTCAAAATTAGTTTTAATTTCAAAGTTGTACTTATTTTGCACTTAAAAGAAAATTAAAACTACTCTGGATGATTTTCCTCACCGTTTTTTTTGAGATGCTCACTTTGCATCCTACTTCAAGCAAGGGGAAAAAATAATTATATCTTATCATTATATATTTAAACTACTTTCTTCCAAGCTCCAGCAAAACAATTCTTTCCAACTGAAGAAACTCTCAAAAATAGGGAAAAAAAACCCCACCAAGTCTTTTTGATGGAGAAAATTAAGATTTGCTGGAGAGACAAAACTAAAAAAATCAAACACACACAATCCAAAACCCACCCCAAAACAAAACTATGTGGATTAATTTTCATCTTAGCAATGCTTTTTATGTAACCTTTTTAAAAGTCTATCTTATTGTACTATCTGGAAGAGAACAAAGAATTAACAGGAGACAACAAGTATGGAATTACAAGTATGGAAGACAATTGTTTTTTTCAAGCATATGCTGAATACCGTACTTGCTGTATACATGGTTTAGGTTCCAGGGATTTTGACACTAATAGGAAAATGTCTGCACAGGAATTATTGTATCTGAGGGCAGCAAACATTTGAAGAACTGTAAACGACAGTGCAAATGTCCAGTTTTAAATATAACACACATTTAAAATCAAAGCAAAATCCAACACCACCACTTGGAAAACTTTTCCCAACAAGCTAAAAAATGAGTAGCAAAACTACTTATACCATTGGTTTTTACTAAAACAGCAAAAGAAATGGTCCTTGAATTGATTCCTTCCAGTGAATACCTGGAAATTATGGTGAACAGAACATATTCATTGTAAACAAAATGCTTGCCTATTGCACGTGCATGGAATATGCATTGTGCACTTGAAGAACAAGTTTCATCAGAAAAGTGTATTTGCTGTCATGCAAGTACAAGCCATGCCCATCTCTGCACTGAACTCCACCCCTTG